GACTAGCACTTTTTCTATTATAGAGTAGAGGTTAGGAACCACAAGATATAGAGGCTCAGCTATGTCGTTTATGGTTCTTAAGTCCTGGAGCAAATTCCATCTACCACTGGGTTGTTTTACAACTCAGAAGTTCGCATGCAAGGTAGAGGTGAAGTAAGGAACTGCTTATGAGGTTTTCTGTCCATTCTAACAACTAAGAAATAGTGAGAAGAGTTGGGACCTGAGAAGGCTTTTAGGACCAATTAGTAGGCTCTGTGTCCAGGAGAAAATGAGTATACTTAACAGTAATGTTAATGCTCACCCACAGCTCTTCTGGGAGGATCTAAATCATTGATTAGTTATTTAAAAAAATCTTTCTAATCTGAAGATGAGGACTTTGGAGGTATTTTTAACTGTTAGGTAATTTTGGGAGGCAAAGACTCTGGAATGGGAAATGTGAAGCAGCTACACAAGATGAGAGGTAAAAGATTTATAAAGACTTTTTTATTAAAAATACATGTTTTTTAAATACATGTTTCTCTTTAAAAAAAGACAATAAGTAGCTAAAATTATTTTAAAATTTTTTCCATGGCTGACTATGTTTTTATTTTTTTAAAATTTTATTTTATTAATTTTAATGAACATTTACTGAGATATTGGATTTTCATTCATTCATTGTTGCAATTTTCTCCTTGCCTATTCCTCCCCCCCAACCCCCAGCTCACTCCTCTCTTTGAAAAGTAAAAGAAAAATTCTTTTATTGATATGCTTACAAACACCCCGCCCCCCAGTACACTCCACTATGCAGCCTTAATTCTGGACTCTTGTGATAACCACTATACCCTATCATATATCGCTTTTATACTGTTCTCTCCCTCATCTGTTTCAATGTAGTATACATAATTTATCCAATTTTTCTGTCTTACCCCAACTCTAACGTCAGTCCCATTCTACAATAGTGGCACCATGCAGTGTTTGTCCTTTTGCGACTGAGATATTTCACTCAGCATAATGTCCTCCCCCATTCTGAATAATATTGCATGAGTTCCTTGTTTTCAATGCACCGTAGCATTCCATTGTATGAATATACCACAGTTTCTCTATCCATTTTTTTGTTGATGGGCACTTAGGTTGTTTCTAACTCCTTGCTATTGTGGACAAAGTTGAGATAAACATGGACATGCATATATCTGCTTGGATGTTGGTTATGATCTCTTTAGGGTATATTTCCAGTAGTGGAATTGCTGGGTCAAACAATATCTGTATTTGCAATTTTTTGAGAAAGTACCACACCACTTTCCACAGCGGTTGCACCATTTTACACTTCCACCAACGGTGAATAAGGGTTCCAGTTTCTCCACAACCTAGTCAGCATTTGTTGCTTGCTGTTCTATTAAATTTTGCTATACTGACTGGGGTGAGATGATATCTCATAGTTGTTTTGATTTGCATCTATCTTAGAGGTAGGGATTTTGAACATTTCTTCATGTGCTTGTTAGCCATCTGAATGTGTTCTTTGGTGAAGTGTCTGTTCATATTCTGTGCCCATTTTTCAATTGGATTGTTTACCTTTATCTTGTTGTGGTGCTCAAGTATTTTATAAATTCTATATATAATTCCTTATCTGACATCATTACCAAATACTTTTCCCCAGGCTGTGGTTTCCCTTTTTACCCTGTGGGAGAAGTTTTTGGATGTGCATAGGGATTTGATTCTTAGAAGGTCCCATTCATCTATTTTATCTTCTCCTGGTTGTAGATTTTTCAGGATTCTTGGAAAACTGTTTATGTTGTGGATTAGGATTACTAGCATTCTTCCAAGCTTTTCTTTAATGAAGTTTATAGTACTTGGTTTTAGTCCTAGATCCATGATCCACCTTGAGTTGGTTTTTGTATATGGAGTGGGGTGTGAATCTTACTTGAGTCTTTTGCAGATAGTTTTCCAATTTTGCTAACACCATTTGTTAAAAAGGCTGTAGTTTCCCCACTTAACTGATTGCATCTCTTTGTCAAAAATC